CCCGCCCCGGCCCTCAGCCCCTCCGCTCGCAGGTGTCCCCTCCGCGCCGTCAGCTCCCCTCCGACGGCTTGGTACGCCGCGGGGTACCGGCGGTACGGTCATGCCGTCGTGGTGCGTTCACTCTGTCGGTTAAAGAGCATCATGTACACCCCTCCGGGACCCTCGCTGAGCCCACCGCCGGTGACAACAGCGGGCTCCGGGCTGGTACGAAGACCACGAATTTAGCTCCTGTGGGCTGCCTTCCACTGCGTACCTGGAACAGGGCAGTGCTAGCGCTGATCTCCGCTGTCAGAAGTCGTGTGTTTTGACGAAGGAAAACAAGTCTAACGTCTGCGAAACGGCCAAATTCTCCCACCACTCGGGAACTGCTGGGAAATATCCCTGGCGGACTGACCCCGCGCCTGTAATTCTGTAAAGATTTGTCCGTGCTTAGTATAACTTGGAAAGCTGAGTAATTCCCTTTCGTACGCTGGTCCTTTCACATCTTGTACTTTATCTACCGTGGCATTTATACATTAAAAATCTACACAGGGACTCGTCGAGTCCAAATCCCTGGGCTCCGGCCACGGGGGGAACCGGGGTGGCTGCTGACACCCGCCCGGGATGCCGCTGCGGGGAAGAAACCGGGTCCCGGTACACCGGGGAAGCGGATCCTCGGTGAGCTGCTGTCCTCGCCGGGACTGTGTGGGGTTGGTGAGGTGGAGGCTCATGTTGCCTGGTATAAATTAACAGAAGTGTATCCTACTGATTTATTTATTTTTCCCAAACCAAGGGTGTTATAAAAGACATTCTCTGCGGCTCATGTTGACAAATAGCTCGTGAGCTACCTGACAGTGTTAGTCCAGTTGTTGCCCATATGTCTAAATACCCTCCAAGAGACGTCAGTGCTGTTTAGCAAGAGAATTACCTCAAATGAAAACCAGAAGGAAGATGGTTTTTTTTCTTCTCCCCCAAACCCACTTTACACCTGATGGCAGTAACACACAGGGAGGATTTTTGAAAATTCAGTGTCACCTTCCCCCGTGGCAGCGATCGCTTTACAACATGATGGGGGCGGGGAAGGGTGCTTCTTTTTTTTTTTTTTTTCTTTTTCTTTCTTTTTTTTTTTTAAATCCATACCTTCACTAAATGACTTGCCTCCGTGTTTGTTTAACAACGGGGCGCTTCGGTAAACAAGACAATCAAAAGAACATTTGAGACTACGTGGATACATTTCTCTACTGCTTGTAGACGCCTGGACACCCAGAGGAGTTGTTGAATGCCTCTCCTCCCATCCTTCCTTTATTTACCCAAATGAACACAGGGAAAGCTTTTAACCGAGAGGAGATTTAAGGTGATAAGCAGCGAACAGGCGGGCGGCACTGGAAGCCTGAGCTGCATTCTCCGTGGAGCGAAAGGGATGGGGTGCTTCAAAGGCTGGTTTGATTTTTTTTATTACTATTATTATTATTTGGTTGACATTTTTCTTTCGAAAACCGAGACCGTTTCTGCTCCCTCGAAATATTCCGACGGTTGCCTTGCCAGTGCATTTTAAACAACTATTTCAGCCGAACTCTCTCACCGACTGGTTTGGCAATTGGTTCCGTGAATTTGGTTTTAGGGAAGACCCTACAACCCTTCTTTCCCCGCCAACCCCACACCCCCCGAGGCGGTCTCTTTCTACTCTATCTACTTTTTTTTTTTTTAGGAGCCAGCAAGTTTTAGGAGCCGCATCTGGATTTTTTTCCGGGAAATAGAGAGATTAGGAATAGTCCCGGTCCCCGGGAAGGAAAGAACCCCTCTCCCTCCACATCCACTTTGTGGGCAGTTCTAAAGTACCTCTGTCTCCTGATGTGAGAGGACTCGGGGGGTGGCGGGGGTGTTGCTCTTCCCCCCCCCTCCCCGTTTGTGGGATTGTTGGGTTGGGTTGGGTTTTTTTTTCCCCCCAAATCAAGACGATTTATTAAAACCTTTCTCCATCCCCCTCTCCCCCCGCCATCCCCGCGACTCGCTTCACACTCTCCCACAGCGCATCAGTCCGGAGCGTCGCCCGGATCGCGACGGCCCAACACACCCCTCCC